CCTCATACGCGTACCTCATACGCCTACCTCATATGCATACCTCATACGCGTACCTCATACACATACCTCACACGCATACCTTATACCTCACACGCATACCTCACACGCATACCTCATACATATACCTCATATGCATATCTCACACGCATACTTTACACATACCTCACACGCATACCTCACATGCATACCTTATACACATACCTCATTCGCATACCTCATACGCCTACCTCATACACATACTTCACACGCATACCTTATACTTCACACGCATACCTCACATGCCTACCTTATATATATACCTCATACGCGTACCTCATACGCGTACCTCATATGCGTACCTCATACACATACCTCATACACATACCTTATACGCGTACCTCACACGCGTACCTCACACACGTACCTCATACGCCTACCCCATATGCATACCTTATAAGCATACCTCATACGCGTACCTCGTACACATACCTCACATGCATACCTCACACGCATACCTCATACGTATACCTCATATGCATACTTCACACGCATACCTCACACGCATACCTCACGCAAACCTCACACACGTACCTCATACCTCATACGCGTACCTCATACGCGTACCTTATACACATAACTCATACGCATACCTCATACTCATACCTCGGTCTCTCCCCAGGTGAGCTACATGGAGATCTACTGTGAGCGCGTGAGGGATCTCCTCAGCCCCAAAAGCCGCGGGAACCTGCGTGTGCGGGAGCACCCCATCATGGGGCCCTACGTGGAGGGACTCTCCAAGCTGGCCGTCACCTCCTTCGAAGACATCGCCGACCTCATGGACTGCGGCAATAAAGCCAGGTGAGGCCCTGCCGGGGGTGGGGGTGATGGGTGTGTGTGTGTGTGTGTGTGTGTGTGTGTCTTGGTCCCGGCGTAAGGAGGGCCCACTTTTCCGGCTGGGGGTGTCCCGGCCTGGGACCCCCCTCCCTCCCGCAGCGTAGGTGCCCAGCCTCCAGCTAAGTCTCAAGCTAGATTTTTCAAAGCTTCAAAGAAGATTTGTTAGGAGCGAACATGCCGGGAGCAGCCGACTCTCTGAGGCGCGATGACCCGGAGGGTCACCCAACCGTAACAAAAAATCCAAAACGTCAATCGATGTCCTCGAACGCCTCCAACTTGGCCCCGGGCCTCAGTCCGTTGGAGAGAAAACCCGCTCAAAAATCGCCTTCAAAAGAAAGCGATACGATCCGAACGGGATGAGCGGAGAAGAGGCGAAAGAAGAAACCGAAACAAAACGACGGTGAAAGGAGAAGTAACGAACCAACTTTATTTAACAAGGCAGAGTCTGTTGGAAGGACGCTAACCGAGATCACTTCAGCCCCAAAATAAAACAAGCTTTGCTTTTCCGGCAACGCTGGGTTGTAACCGTCTCTCTTATATAACTAGTCTCCCCCCGGCGGCAAGGGGGATCAGGGCTGCTTCCTCTCTCGCAAGCCGAGTTGCTCCCTTCTCCGTTTCCTGCGTGTCCTATGGGCCTGGTTCTTCCTCTCGACCGCCCAGCCAGCCTCTGCCCTTCCCCAACCGCCGGAGCCATGCCTCCACTCTCTGTCGGCTGTATCTCCTCTCCGTCAAGAGTCCGACTCTACCAAGGGCATGACACGAGTCACATCATTCATTTGTCACCCTTGACCCTGGTTTTCTCCCACCCCCCCACCCACCTGCGGGGTGTATCCTAATTCATATGCTCCAATGGGACACGTCCACAGCCCAGAGTCATCAATCCTATTCTCCGATTAAGAGTTTTGCGCGGCGGAAACTTCGCCCGCCTGGTTAACTGTGGGAAAACATGGACGGAATCCGCTGTCCGTTTCGTAAGACGCAGTTTTGCTGGCGACTCTTAAAAAGGCCAGAGACCTATTTTGACGAGTTGTACACCCAGGCCTGTACGGGATGGGGGAGGGCTGAGCGGGTGAGAGTCCCGGATCGGGAACCAGGCGACGGGGATTCCCCAATCGTTGGCGGTGGCGGGAAAGAAACTCAACGCGCACCCCTCACGCGCGCGCGCACAAACACACACACTGACCTGCCCTCCCAGGACGGTGGCCGCAACCAACATGAACGAAACCAGCAGCCGCTCCCACGCCGTCTTCACCATCGTCTTCACCCAGCGCCGGCACGACGAACTCACCGACTTGGACGCCGAGAAGGTAGGAAGAGTACGAGGCCCAAGCCTTGCGGCCGTCCCTCGCGAGGGTTCTGGGAGGAAGGAGGGACCTGTGTCCTGGGTTCAGGGAACGCCCGGGCCGGACCTCTGGCTGCGTCAAGATTGGGGGCCCTGTAGAGAGGTACCCCTCCTCATCCCGTGCACCTCCCCTCCCCTCCTCCCCAGGTGAGCAAGATCAGCTTGGTGGACCTGGCGGGCAGTGAGCGAGCGGACTCGTCGGGCGCCAAGGGCACGAGGCTCAAGGCAAGACGGCGGAGTTGGGCCTGTCGGGCGGGGGGGGGAGTGGCGAGCGCGAGCCCTGTAGCTTCGTCACTTCCCGCAGAGCTTAAGTGCGGAGTAATCTCCTCCTCTTCCTCCTCCTCCTAGGAAGGAGCCAACATCAACAAGTCCTTGACCACCTTGGGCAAGGTCATCTCCGCGTTGGCCGAGATGGTGAGCGTCCAATCCGGGCGGCGGGGGATGCAGAGATCGCGGAGGGCAGAGGATGCGGGAACCAGAGGCGGGACGAGTCCTTTGGATGCTCGGCGGGACACATTGGGGTTCTGGGAGGGTGTCCCCCCCATTTCCTTCTCCCCTCCCCCTACCGCCGGCTCACTTCCCCTCCCGCCTTCCCAGCAAAGCAACCACAAGAAGAGGAAGTCCGAATTCATCCCTTACCGGGATTCGGTGCTCACCTGGCTGTTGAAGGAGAATTTGGGTGAGTGGTTGGGCTCGGCGACCGCTGGTGGTCCGTGAGAAAATTTGGGGGGGTCCGCGGAGAAATGTCTCACACCCCGTCCCCCAAAAGCAATTAATCCAGGCTCTGCGCGGGAAGATAAGGCGGCGTCACTTGCGTCGCACACAACGCGAGGTAGGGAGGGGAACGAGGGAAAAGGACGGAGGGAGGGGAACTCGCCTCATGCGTCCGACGCGCCTGTCATGGCCGTCGGGCTGCTCCTTTCGGCTTATTTTGTCTGCGCGCAAGGAAAGCGGCGAAAGTCTTCCTTGCCCCCCCAAACTCGGCCAGAAGTCGAGTCTTTGCAACCCGGCGAGGCCTCCCGCTCCGAGAGGCTACGCCGGCGCGACGAGTCTCACAAAGGCGCCTTTTTTGGGGGGCAGGGGGAGATTTTCCCAGGGTCTCAGGACTGCGGGATTTAAAACGATGAGTTGGGCCGTCCCCGAGGTCCAAAATGGTTGGCGACCCCCGCCCTAGACCATCCGTAAACCGACCCTCCCTCTCTCTCTCTCGGCTCCGGATTCTCCGCGCTCCAAAGGCTTCAGCGAGAAGCGCCAAGTGTGCTTGTGAAGGGTTGACGGGCAGAGGGTCTTCTGGGGGTGGGGAGTGAGAGAGGGGGGGAAGTCAACGGGGTCACTTCCTCTCCGCTTTCTCCCTTCCGCAGGGGGAAATTCCCGCACGGCCATGATCGCCGCCCTCAGCCCAGCCGACATCAACTACGAGGAGACGCTCAGCACCCTCCGGTGAGCGGGAAGGAGGAGCCAGGAGAAGGGGAGAGGGTCTCCCCTCGTAGCCAAGGCTGGGCCCTTCCCCACCTGGCCCACCCTCCCCCATCTCAGGGCTCGTCGTCTCCTCCCCCAGTTACGCCGACCGCGCCAAGCAGATCCGCTGCAACGCCATCATCAACGAGGACCCCAACGCCCGGCTCATCCGGGAGCTGAAGGAGGAGGTGGCCAGGTTGCGGGACTTGCTGTCCGCCCAGGGGCTCTCGGGCGCCTGCTTTTCGGGTAGGGGGCGATCCAGGGACCTGCCCGGTGGAAATCTGGGGGCGGGGCGGGAGCCACGCGAGTGTTTGGGCAGGAGGCCGCATCCCAGCGCTCGTCTTGTGTCTTCGCAGGATCCGAGCCAGCCGATCCCGGCGGTGGGCAGAGAACGGCCGGCACCCCCTTTGCCTCGATGGCCCCCTCCTCTCTCCTGCTGGAGCCCGTGGCCCTCAACGGAGAGCGGGAGCTCAACCTGCCGGCCTCAGAGGAGCAACTTCTAGGGACAGAGGAAGCCATGGAGAGGCTGCAGGTGAGAGGAGGAAGCGACGATTTCCCTCTCGGGCGCATCCACCCTGACAGGAAGGGCGCCTGGCACCCTCTGGTCCCCGTCCTCCTTAGGGGCCCTTTCCCAGCAGATGGACTCTGCGGGGGCCACCCCCAGGTTTCCTGGCATCCAAAGATCACCCCGGCCTCCACAGCCGCAACACGAGGTTCCCTCTCATCCTCCCGGGCGATAATGGCAGCCGCCGCGGCTCCGATCAGAGCACAACCAGTCCCCTTCTCCAGGGCAGCTTGGGCAGAGGGTCGCTTCACAGGCCCCTGAGTGGCCTCTGTTAGGATACGTGCGGAGTATAAATAGGCTATGCACGCGGACAACAGTTTACGAGAACAGAAGAAATATACAGCCGCACAGCGTTGAACGAGTTGTCTTCATGTTTGCTTGAAGAAATAGCACAGTCCAATCAACAGTCCGTGTCCGACACAGTTTTAACAGTCCCGAAATATCCAGTTATAAAGTCTTCTTACATCTAGTTATAAAGTCTTCTTATCACAATACAACGAAAAATCTTCGACGTCAACGGAAGATCAAAATAAAGAGAGTTAGTCAGAATCGGTCCGTAGTCAGTCAGTATCGGTCTCAAGAGAGATCATCAGTGAAAAAGAGAAAAAGAAAAAGAGAATTAAACCATGATCTGTAGTTCTCTCTTGTGGCAACTTGTCTTCTTAACCGGTTTCAAGTCTTTTACAGCAGACCAATATCAAACCATAATACAACAGATCGATATCAACAGAAGATCAAAATAAACAGAGTTAGTTAGTCAGAATCGGTCCGCAGTCAGTATCAG